GCAGAGTTGGAAAACTGTCTATTCAGCTTCTCTAGCTGACAAAGGAGAGAGGATTTTTTTAAAGGCTCCAATTTAATAAACGAAGATTAGTTCTCCTTAATGGCAATTGTGTTTGCTTCCTGTTTTTCTCATCTATCTGGTTTGTGCTATGGTAAGTGGCTCTGGCACATGACACCTTTTAAAGGCTATGGTCATTTATTACTAGAACAAACATCCCACTTAGGGTAGACGCATGCTTGAGCCCTGAAATGTATGTCAAAATGGTTCAGATAAGTACTGTGACGGAGGTATATCCCTGAAAGCACACAGGATCAATACATGACATGGTGGTGAATTAATATTCTGAGCTCACTTCCCTGTAATGAATACTGCCGCAGAGTTTTTAAAGTGTTCTTGCCATGATCTTTTGTGAAAGGCGGAGGCCTCGGCATCACAAGGAGAATACATTGAATCATTTATTCCATGTCCTGTTTGTCACAGCAACGTTTCACATCTCTCCTTCAGAGGAATCCATTTCAGTGTACTGTTTCATGACTCGTTTCTGGGATGCCTTTATAAAAGGAATGCCTAATACTGGCCTTCCTTGTACAGAACTCACCCACACATTGCAGCGTTTAGCCCTGCTTGCTGTGGAAAAGCATCTCTCCATGGATGTGAGTGGGTGAGGTAACTGGAGGTTAAGCTTAGCTGTATTAGTATTTCTGTGGTCCATTTCAGCTTGATTTACAGTGTATCTATTTACATGGAATATAATATGATCCACTTTACTTTAGGCTGTAAACCCTTACACAATGAAAGGTTTAAATGACCAGTAACTTTAAGATACAAGTCACATTTTGTACTAATAACATTAATAATAGATGTATCTGCATCAATACTGATATTATAGGGACGGTGAAATAGCTTCTATTTTACATTATTGTCCAGTCAGATACCCCATGTTATTCTCACATGGACAACATATTTAAAAGGCTCTTCATAATTTCTACACTCACTCATATTTTACGATTTTGTGCATATTAATCAAATATTGCCAACTTCTTCCTCCACCACAATTCGCATGATTGCACTGAGCAGTGGTATTCACCTATTCCTGAAAGCTTTGCTGTCAAGTAGGGTCTTCCCCTCCTAGATTGGTAAGAAATAGAACTCTGTTCAAAAGCACTATATCGATATATTTTTATCAACACACATTGCTTCATCTGAGGTTTAAATCGGAGACAGAATGTCTAGAAAGAGACACCTTTTGCTGTGCTTTTTCTTTTGCTGTGCCCTGGTAATCCTTTGTCAAAGATGCATCTTGACGTTCATAGACATCATAGACAAACATCATAGAT